CAACCACCGCTCTAAGCTTTTCTGGATTCAGAGTCCAGAATGCTCACCATTACACCATGGAACCTTGCACTCGCTCTCTAAGCTTTTCTTTTGTAAATACCTGTTTAATAGTCTTGTGTGATTCATCAACCTTAACTTTCCATTTATTTTCTTCTTGCTCAACACTTCTCTGTAGCTTCTGTAAAATTCCTTCCTACAGACAAAAGTATAGTTGTTTTGAAAAATTCATATTCTAATGCCAAGATAAACTATTTAGGCCACGAAGGAAAAAGGTAATAATTTAAAGTAAAATCAAAACGTAGATTAAAAATCATTTCCTACTGTTTCTGCAAGGACGGATTTGTATTTTTCACACTCTAGCTGTAACAATGTGTGCATTTCATCAGCTTCTCTCAACTTGTGCTCTAGAACCTGCAAAGAATGAAGTAAAGAAAAACTATAATTTTACCAGAAAGTTTTATGCTGCAAGGTTGTTTCAGAACTTAATACTATATTATGATAAACGGTTTCAAACTGTTTTATAATGAAACACTACATTTCAACTTTCTAAGAGGCAATGAAGTTCATTCAATGACCCTTTGGTCATTTTATTAAACAACGTTATATATAATACATAGTCTTGGTACTGAAGTCTTTAGTCAGGTGGTAAAAATCAAAGCAGACCCACATATGAAGTTAAGAAAGGTCACAATGCCTATGCTACACACATGGAAAAGAGGATTTTATTCATGCCACTTAAGAAACAAGAAAACAATAATAATAAATCCCCCCAATTTCAGTAGCCAAGGATAAAAACCAATCTAGTTTCTGAATATCTCTAATGATGTATCTGGGGATGCTTCAGCAAACCTGTGAGATTGTTCTATCTCAACTGATTTTTACTTTATAAACCTAGGCTAAAAAGACAGTAAAGAATAATTAAATATTCAATTTTAGAAACAAAATACAAAGTTAAAGGAATGGCAAACACTAGCTTTGTAAACAAATCAAATGCAAAGCTGACTTACTATATTCAACTAAAATTTAAACAAAATGAAATCACCTCTTACACTTTCTCAAAAGAGCCTTACTCTATTAATGTATCTTTTATCTTTTCCAAGCTCATGAAGACAAACTTTGATTTGCTTGTTTTTCTATGTTTAAATTTACAAACTGTTCATTTCTTGAACTAACCTTAACCTCCTCTGACCCTGAAGTTCCAGCCATACATTCTTTTGCCTTCTTTTCAAATCCACGCAACCATTCACTGTAACTCTGTGGGCATAAAAAGTCAACATCATTAATTTCCAAAAAAGCAAAAATCTAAATAAAATAAATCAAACATTTTAAATAACCAAACTGTATAATTATAAAAGAAATCTACATAGACAAACAGGACACCGCTACAAATTTCAAAGAGGAATGTAACTACTGCGTTTAAGTTGGACATGACCCAGTTTTGAAAATCAGCACTAAAAACAAACCTATGTACAACCATCAGAATAAAATCTTATATATTTTCAATTGAATTCTGCAGTTCCAGGTAGAAAAACCTAGGTTCAAATCTGGCCTCTACCATTCACTAACACCATGCCAAATAATCTTTAAAACACAGAAAAACCAGAATAAATAAGTTTTCTAAGCTGTTTCCAGGTAAAACAGTTCTCGAAAATAAAGTATTGTGAGTTCATAAAGTAAAAGTTCAACTGAAGATGTTCCATTTGGAGGATTTCAAATTCTATGAAAATGCTCTAAGGACTCTAAAAATATTTCATTTAAATTATTTAAAAAGTCCTAATGAGAAATGATACACATACACAAATATTTACTTGTTTAAATACAACAAAAACTCAATTCATGCTGACAGGTTAGATGACATAAACATGCATATGTAATGTTTTTGGCATTTACTCTAAATTTCAGAATAAATTACTCTGAATTATTAAGGCTTATCTGAATTTTATACTTTGATAAAGAGTATCTATGTGTTCGATACATTAAATCAAATTTCCTCTTATACTTCCATTTAAGTCTTTGGATTAAGAAAAACAAACGCCCATGAAATTTTTATTAACTGCTATAATATAAACTGTTACATTTGCAGCTGAATCAGGATTTTCTATAAACTATCAAATAACAAAAAACAAAAGTAGATGCTGAGATCAGATCACTCCAAAGTACAATGCCTTTAATATCAAATTAGTTTCAACTACTGGTACCCAACATAAACTAAAATCAGATAAAAAACTAGTTTCGTTGCTTAAATTCTGTAAATCTCCCTCTAGGTCATATACTTTAGATCTGTCCTATGTTGACTTCTTAGCAACACAGCAAAAGGAAACAGTAAAAATATTTATATATTTTTACATCTACTGATTATGTTGATTTATCTTAATATTAATGAAGCGTATTGCTTTATTATTTTATAAGGTAAATAGTTTGTCCTTCATATCTTTACAAACCTAAAATGCCAGACTCTAATATTAGTACATAGAAAGTTTAATACATTTCTTATAGACTATATGTAGAAATATTCAACTTTTAACAAGTATATGAACAAAAGTCAAACAATATCCATATCTAATGATAACTTATAAAAATTTACAGTGTCAAAAAGATTTGGTTACTGAGAGTGGGTAGTATTGCTGTTAAAAAAGAAAATGTTTACTGCTGGTGATCTTATACAATCTTTGAAGAACAGTAATTATCAATCATTAATTCTCTTGGCTCATAAAGCACTGCCAAAAAAGTACACCCTCCAATATTATTTCCGTAAATAAAATATAAAGTAGAAACAAAAACAGGTTATGCCACAAAGAAAAAATATTAAATATATTAGTAGCAACCCTTTCTCTTAGGTTCAATTTAACAACAGCACTAGAACTGACAGCACATCTATACGTTTATTCAGTACTAGATGTTCCATCAGTTCAATTCAAAAGTGGTAGAGAGCTACTAAACTGATCAAATCTGAATATATCTGCCATAGTTACAATGGAAACAAAGGAGTTTTCTCTCCTTACTTGAAATAAATGTAGGCTATACTTAACTTCAGACTACAAATAGAACAAGCCATTAAGTTTACTTACCCCACCCCTAGCACCCACAGAGTTCCTTGGAGAAATAGTTGATTCTATGTTTGGGGCAGGAAATGTATACGATAAATCAGGAGCACCTTATCATACCACAAAGCATAGAAGCTATCAAAGTTTAGCAGCATTGTGTCAAAAGGACTTGGTAACCAACTTAAGTAAGTTCCAACGGGCCAAAGGAAGACAAGTAGACATTACAAATCTCCTGATGAGAGTGCACACCACTGCCTATGAAGTGGTCTTACCACTACTCTAATCTACCCCCAAATACGAGCCTTAATCTAACCAAAAATCACATTCCTGATTACAGATTTGATACATAAAGGATACATAAAAGAGGAACAATCTAACACCACAACGATTCAGTCAACTAAATCCAAACTGTTGGAAACTTCATAGAAAACCACCAAGTTGCCTGAGAGCGGTGGCTCACGCCTGTAATCCCAGTACTTTGGGAGGCCGAGGCAGGTGGATCATGAGGTCAGGAGTTTGAGATCAGCCTGGCCAACAAGGTGAAATCCCATCTCTACTAAAAATACAAAAATTAGTTGGACGTGGTGGCGGGCGCCTGTAATCCCAGCTACTCAGAAGGCAGAAGCAGGAGAATCACTTGAACCCGGGAGACGGAGGTTACAGTAAGCCCAGATGGCGCCATTGCACTCCAGCCTGGCAACAGAGCAAGATTCCATCTCAAAGAAAAGAAAACCACCAAGTTTTTTGTTTTTTGTTTTTTAAAGAGGTAGGGTGTTGTTGAGAAAGAGTGGGGGAATGTGTATATTAAAGATCTAAGAGATGTCTCAAACCAGTTACATATTGACCTTATTTGGATCCTGATTAAGCAACTACAATCATTAATTAAAATAGACAATTTATGTGATATATGGAGAAATGCATACTATACAAAATAAAGAATATATTTTTAAGTGTAATATGATACTTTAAAAAAAAAACACTTATGTTTTAGAAATGTGTACTGAAATATTTACAGATGAAATGCTCTAATGTTTGAGTTCCTTCAAAATAATCTATGGAGTACAGGGTAGGGGGTAAGACAAGATTGCTTATATGCATGCCATGTACTGCTAAGTGCTACGGACAGACGTTGAGTACATCGGGCCTCATTATGCTTGTCTCTCTACTGTTGAACAATTTTCCATTAAATTAAAAAAACAAACAAAACCCTCCACTTTATTTTAGGAAATGCACATGCACATTCACTGGCTTTCTCTGCCCTCCAATAATTACTGTTAATTCTCTGAACAAAGGTAACTGTTCTCACTTAGAACACGTATGACCTCAAGTAAACCAAGTTTTTCTATATTATCTGTAAGGCTTTTCCTTGAAGAAGGTAACAGATGACCAAAAATCTTGGGTTTTAAAATGTAAATAACCTGGTTAATAGTATCAAGTACATTAAGAAATAAAGTGTTGCTAAAACTAAGAAGCAATCACTTAAAATTAAGTTTTAAATAAAGCCATTAAGAATGTTACAATATTGGTTTTATTAGCATTAAGAAACATTTCTTTCTCAAATACGATGTTTTCAACCCTCTAAATAATGTCTCATACATAAATTTTATAGAAACAAAAGTATCAGGTAAATAGAAATGAGTTTTGAACCAAGTTGTTAGTCTTTACTGAAAAGCATCAGCTTACCAATGGGAAAGATCAAGGAATCAGCACTCTACTGAAACCAAGTGCAGAGTGCAAATGATGTTGCTTATTCATACATTTCTTGAATAATGTCATCAGGTTAAGAAAATGATAAATTAGTCTTACCAAATTAGAAGGGACAGAGACCTCTGGAAATAATTTTTTGAGAACGTCTTTAGCCTCCAACTCAACAGCTTCCACCTGTTGTTGTCTTTCCTAAAGCAGAAGATGAACCAAATCAAACTTACAAGATCACAGAATTTTTTTTAAAAAAAAAAGAAAAGAAAACTAAGGTATTTTAAATTCTACAGGAAGAAAAAGTTAAAAAAAAATTTAATATTGGCAAATGTTAAAATTTCCCACTTTAAGATATTAAAATGCTTCCATAAGAAAAAATCTGCAAAATCTCTAAAGCATCCTAAATATCAAATAATGCCTTAGCAGTATCTGACAATATGGACATTTTCCTTGGCATTTAGAAATCAAGTGATTTGCCTGTCCAGGAACAATTTAAAAACAGACACACAAAAAACATTTCTTATAGCTAAAACTTGATAAACTGCCTATATCAGAAAACACAAATTGGAAGAACATAACTGAGGCTTATTGGCTGGTATATCTCTATAAAAAAATGCATCACTGATGGACTATATAATGTCATGACATTAAAATGGCAACTTTCTTATTTCCAACTTCAAGGTGAAGTGCAGCTATTTATGCTAAACAAGGAGGACCATCAAAATGTGATAGATGATATAAATGGGAAAAAGAATGAACAAGGAGCAAATGATGTCATATTACTTCACTAATGCCAAGAATCACAAAAACTAGTTCCGACACTTGCATACAGACTACTATAAATTTACAGATATTACAAATGTGTAAATATAAATTTGCTGATATTAATTCCAGGTCTAATGGATATCAATTATAAACTCAAAACCATGGTTTGTCAAAATTAGGGTAATGACTTATCACATACCCCCCTCCCAAAAAATAAAAAATAAAAAAAATAAAAATAAAAACCTATATCCAAACGACCTCCACAAGATTTTTTTTTAAAACAAAAACCCTATAAAAATGCACATCTAAATCAAGCCCAAAAAATCATCTAAAAACAAGTTAGAAAGTTCAACAGGTGACAAGAAAGCAAGCAAGCTAGAAACATCTCAACCATATCTTTCCCCCACCATTTAGATGTGAATTTTGAAATCTATCACTGATTCAAGGTCTCCACACTTCAATTTTGGAAAATCTAATCAGATGAAAATTTACACAATGAACAGCTACAGATTTTGCCATTTTCCATACACATAAAAAGCTGTTAATTAAAGATCAGCAGCAGTACTTTTACAATAGATGTTTTAATGAGGTATTTTCAATAATTCAATAAAGTCCACTAATTTTCGGGAATACACCTAACTGCATAAAATACGGTATATTCATTCAAGGAAAATAATTAATGCTATTTCAAGGACATTAAGAAGTAATTTTTATCATTTGACTAAAGTAATAATCTTTAAAGAAAACCAGTTAGAAAAATACACTGAGGAATAGCTTTTTGAAAACTTTCCAGGGGGAAAAAAAAAAAAAAAAAAAAAATTTAAAAAAAAAAAAAAAAAAAAAAAAAAAAAAAAAAAAAATTTTTAAAAATTTCCAGGGGAAAAAAAAAAAAAAAAAAAAAGACTAACTCGAAGAACTAAGTGTCTAACATAACCAGGAGCCTGGTTATGTAACAGTAACTTGAGAAGTTACTATTATTTGAGAAGTTACTGTTATTTGGTATTAACAATTTTAGCTAAGAAGTTTTCATCTGACATAGTGGTTTGGTTATAGATAGCAATTTCCATTCTACTTTAACATCTGGGAAAGATCTAATATTAAAAATTGAACTATAATTTGCATATCATCTTTAAGTGTAATGTATAAAAGTATCTTTCAGTAGTATAAAAGTACAGTAGCTCCTCAAGAGTAGTTAGCCTTTAAAAATAATCCTGTAAAGACGGCAAATATCATCCTATTTACATTTTAGGTAGGTTGACCATAACTTAATTCTAGTTAAAATACTATAAGTGTTTCACATAGTTTCTTCTCATCACAGCATAGTTCACGGCACTGGGTCAATCAACATTGCTTTACAACTATGCTATCTAAGAACTGTCTAAATTCCACTGAAATACAGAAGACTTTCAATTGTACTCTCTGTAGATCTTAAGCTATGCAAGAAAGCATTGTGCATAAAAATTCTAGCTTTCTTTTAGAATCACAAAATGCAAAAATGCCTATGGCAAATGGCATGTAACTTGTAGGAACGGCATGATTAGCACCCAGATACTCACTCAGTCTCACTAAAAAAATAAAACCAAAAGGCATCTTTTAACAGTCAAAACCAAATAGAAACAACCAGAAAGCACACTAAAACCCTTACTGCTGACAGAAATGACAGTACAATTGCAACCACTCCCAATGAAATAGTAATGTCCTATCTGACCTAAATGTTCCTGCTCCCTGGTGCCAGTATACCTGTCAGCTGTCTCAAATTTAACCTTTAGTGAAAATTATGGCCAGGTGAATAGGGATATAGTTAAATACAAATCCATTAAGCCATAGGAAATGTAACTACAAACATATACTTGCTTAAAATAAAAAATTACTGTATTATGCTTAAAAATTCCTTCAAGTGTCATTAAGACTTACATTGAAGATTCAATAGATTACTATGGCACACAAAATATTTTCACAGTGCTAAAATGAATCATTCAGGTTCCTTCATTTACCTATCTGCAAAATTCAATATCCCTGTTTCATATTTATTCTTGGCAGCAATTTTCTAAATCCTTGTCAGGACTGGCAGATTCAGTTTTCTCAATCTTTAAAAACAAGTTCTCTATTACAATTCATTGGAAATCTTCACACCCAATGGTACAACTTGAGCTCAAGGAGAATGTCCTCCATTGTTCTGAAGCCATAGGGGGCTATATGTTTCAGGGGTACTTTACATGCTCTGGTCAAGAGAATTATCCCTTGATAGTAATATTTCATCTAAACATGCCATAGGTGTCATTGTTATCCAGTAATACATGAAGTTTCAGTTCACCACCTCTAAGGAACCATTCCCAGCAACACGCCCAAAGTTGATTGCTTTCCTGTATTTAAAACTTTTATCATTTTTCTACCTTATTTGAGACATCTTGGTGTGCCCTCCAGAACACCTAGTTTATGGCACATCCAACATATTCAAATGTGTTCGTTAATTCAACCAGATTTCTGTGGTTCAAAGTTTTCATAAAAGTTCTCTTAACCAACCCAAAAGGCGCACATTGTCTGACAAGAGGTTAACACAGGTCTTCTGAGACTCTTCAGCTTAAAGTTGTGCTCAACAAAGCCCAAACAATCAGGTAATCACAACAAATCAGCATGCCCAAAATTAAAGCTTCAAGGAGATGAAAAAAGCAGTGATGACAAGAGATGATAAATGTGGATAAGGAGATTTTATATTTAAATTGCAGTAAAAGTAAATGCTTTAGTCTGATTTTAAGACAAGCTGCAGATTTTCTCTGTTCAGTGGATTGTTTCTAGGAGTTAGCATTACAACCTTGGAAGTCTTGTTCACTTTGTCCTGCAGCATTTTTTCAGTTGATGCCAATGCTTCCATTGCTTCCCAGTTTTTCTCCCGAAGGTCCTAATCATTTTTAGAAAGAATGATTTCAGTTTATCCATTATTGAAAGATTTTTTGCTTTTTACTTCATCAGTATTTTGCACTGCATTTAAATGCTGGTTACTGCAAAATTATTTCAATGGGAAAATATGCATATTAGCAAAAAAATAAAAAGCAATGTTTAGAAGTTTGAATGAGAAAATAAAGACGCCCACTTTCCATGTTTTAGTCTATACACCAAATATGCCAGCTTTTAAAATGATTACTATGCATCTGTGACAAAGAAGAAAGCATTCAAAAGTAGACACAAACAAAGAATACATATATGATTTCAGGTACACTAAACATTAGAAGATTAAAAGACAGAGCAAATATATAAGTATTAAAAAAGCTTTTCATGTGATTTTTAAACAAGGCCCAGTAACACTCATAGGACTTTCCACTGCAGTGTAACATTTTTTTCTGTACGTTTTAATACAACTAACATGTTTCAAATCTACCTAGGAATCCCATGGTAACTTGCTGTGTTCTATCTCTTTCTTGGCATGGCCAAATGTGCATGCCACAAAACAACCTTACGTTAACTATATGAGCTAGTTGATCAAAGCAAAGAAGGCTGGAAAGCTATAAAATAGATTCTCTTAGAGGAGAAAGAGGTTATTAAAAATTGAGAGATCTGGATTTTAACAGCATTTCCTTCGCAAATATAATCTGTTATATTTCAGTCTTTCTTCAGAATGGAAATCTAAACAGATAAAAACCAACAACAAAAAATTAAAAACCAATAATCACCATTTATTACTTAACATATGCCAACTACCGTACCTGGCACTTCACAAATTCTCACCCTTACAACAACCCCATGAGGTATTTATTTCCATTCTATAGATACCATAGCTCAATAAGTTAGGAAACTGAGCCAAGTATACACAGAAAATGAAGTGGCAGAACTAGAAGAAAAGACTGACACTGCAATTGTGTCCTGGGTCTTTTCACATGGGTTCAGTGCCTCCAGCGCTGCTGCTGCTGCTGCTGCTGCTGCATTACCATGCCCTCCTTATCTCAGAATCCCAATAATAAAACACAGTTAACATGTTAGCAGTATATCAGCAAGTTCACCTCAAGTTTTGTGGCTAAGCAGTGCTGTTAATACTGTTATACCAACACACAAACAGTAATTCATGTACCTAATTTTGACAAACTCAGGGGTATAAGAAAATGTCAACTTGTTAAATTAACAATTTAACACAAACTTGGAAACATAGGAAACACACATCCATTTATTGGCAATACTCCCTTAGATTTCAGTAACATTTTATCCTTGCTCGAGTCTTAGCAATCACACTATAGTGTATAAACATTCCTCCTCTAGCAAGAATGCTTGGACTCTAAGAGTCACCCTCTAGTATGAGAAAATTTAAGAAATTCTACTAAATTCATTATTTGTCTATTCAGTAAGTTATTAGAATTCGTATTTCTTAAAAGTATTATCCCTTCCCTTTCTAACATAAATGTATTCAGGTTCTAAAGCTTCTAACACACTTAATTACCAAAATTTGAGCCACCTCTCAGTTAAAAATGGGAGGTTCTGGCTAGGCGCAGTGGCTCACACTTATAATCCCAGCACTTTATGGAGGCTGAGGCAGGCGGATCACGTGAGGTCAGTAGTTCGAGACCAGACTGGCCAACATGGTAAAACAAACAAACAAACAAAAAATTAGCTGGGTGTGGTGGTGCACACCTGTAATTCCAGCTACTCGGGAGACTGAGGTAGGAGAATCCCCTGAACCCAGGAGGCACAGGTTTCGGTAAGAAGAGATCATGTTACTGCCTGGATGACAGAACGAGACCCTGTCTTAAAAACAACAACAACAACAACAATTAAAAAAAAAGGCAGGAGGAGGTTACAGAAGGCTTTGCAAAGACCTCATTACTGAGTATACTGGGTTTGAATACTGGCATTACTTTTAGTTCACAAAAAGGCCAGCCCAATCTAATAAGAGGAAATATCTTTGATTTTAAAATATCAAGCTGAAAAACATGTTTTTCCAAATAAAAGTTCAACAAAAAGTCAACTGCACTTTCGGCTTCTTAAAAAAACTAAAGGTGTAATAATCACAGCTTCAACATTTAAAATGATGTAAGAATAAGAATTTGCCTTTTCACTTATTGAAAAAAAAAAAAAAACCGTTCTCCAATAACGGCCCCCCTCAAAAAAGCTACACAAAGAAAATAGTACCTTCTTACAAAGATTAAGAAATCTAAAGTAAAAGTAGATTTTTAAAAAATTCCTGAACCATATTTCAATGTTAAAGTAATAAAACAAAGCTTCATTCTGATATTTACTTACATTGTTTTTCTTCCTCTGGTGTTCAACTGCATCCTTCAAAGAATCTAACTCATTCCAGAGACCACTTATTTCTTTCTCTCTTTCTGAAATTCTAAACCAGAACACGAATACATGGAGCAAGATTTTAGGTAAACAGTAATACAGCTTAGATCCCTACCTATTAACATTTGTTACTACCAAATAAAAATATGAAGTAGATGGTACCTTGAAAAGTACATTAACTAAAAAGTCTACCTACGTTTTACCATTTAGAAAGCACATCCTATGAATTTCAGAAATAATTTTTAATATAAGTTTATACCCAATATAGCATGCCTAGGTTTGTACTAAAGAGAAGCCTAATCCCCTAAGAAACAGTTTATGAATATAGGAACTGTTGTTGCTATTTCTATTTTTATCTGGGTCAGTACACAGTAGCTATTTTCAGAGGAGTTAAAAGTGATGTAGAAGCAGTCCCTTAAGTATTTTTTCCTGAGGGTAATCAGTTATAGCTTTAAATGGCTAACCCACAACAAAAGTATAATACTCAAGTGAGCTCAGTGCTTTCTTCTCATTTTCATACCAATCTCAGCATTAATGTTTTTTTCTGGAACTGTTTCCCCAAAATGCAGAAAGCAATGGAAAAGATTAATAATGGGATTCTGTTATAGTTGAGAGTGGCTAGAGTAGAAAGTTAAATGACAAATAGCTCTTCCCTAAGAATAAGACTCTATATAAGGGGTTGGCAAACTAGGGCTATGGGCCCACTCCAGTCTGTTTTTGTAGGTCCTGAAACTAAGAACTTTTTAAAATGTCGCTTTGTTTGTATATGTATACACATACACATACACATACATAAAACAGACCTATGTGTCCCACAAGCCTAAAATACTATCAGGCCCTTTAAAGAAAATATTTGCCAACCTATGCTCTATATAGTCAAACTCAAGACTCAATTTTACAGTCAATAAATCTAACCTAGTAAACAAGTAACTATGTAACCAAACCAAGATGGAAGAACATTTAGATTACTTAAAAAAAAAAATTAACAATATTCCTGACAGACAACTTATATCATCTAATATACTTAATGTGGCTGACATTTTAACATGTTGAAACAAACTTATCTGAAATGACCTTAAATGTAGCCTCACAGAGAAAAGGCCAACAAGAAAAATGTTTCAGTTAAAACAAAAGAAAAAAAATTTCAAGAAAAATAATCATAAAGATTATAATACTTTTTTCTTGGTGCCAGGCTGGAGTGCAATGGTGCGAACTTCCTGGGCTCAAAACATTCTCCCACTTCAGCATCCCAAGTAGCTGGGACCTATGACAGGTGCATGCCACCACATTCGGAATTTCTAAATTTTTTGTACAGACAAGGTCTCACTATGTTGCCCAGGCTGGTCTCAAACCCCTGGGCCCAGCGATCCTCATGCCTCAGTCTCCCAAAGCACTGAGATTACATGTGTGAGCTACCACATCTAGCCTAAAATTTCTTTAAAAATATAAAGCTAAGCCAAAATTTGCATCATTCCATTACATAATCAAATCTAGAAGAAAGAAGACCCAGTAAGATAACTGAGGTAACAGAAGGTGATTTAGTAAAAACCTGCAAAGTATTAATTTAACTTGATGTTTTCTGAATGCCTAAAAAAACAAAAACATTTCCCTCAATGAAATATTCAAATTCAAACACCATTAAAAAGGCATTTTAGCCAAAGGTGCCACTCAACTCTGAACTGCAGTTCAAGATACCTAAACAGAACTGTAAAACTCAGGTGCCATTTGCAGTTACACTAAATTGCCTGAGAATTGTTTAACGCGTAAAAATAGTTACCACTTTATAAACTATGAATCAAACTTATTACTTACACTTTTAATAATTCTTCATGAGGGGGAAACAAAGATGCCTATTAAAAGAGTTAAATGTTATTTCAAAACAAAACTTTTCAGAAGACTTAGAAAATACTGAAGCTTTTCTCAGATATAAATTAAGAAAACAACAAAAGTAAAAATAGTACATATTTCATATGCCAGTCACCCTGACTTAAATTAAGTGACTTTAATAAAAACATGTACAAATCTGTAAAATGTATTGGATGCTAAATCCAACCTTCACTGTCTTGACAAAAACTCACTTATTTATCAATTTCTCACTATGTGCATGGAAGCATACCTTAAATTTTCATACCACACAATTCATATTTGACTACATAAAAATGTTAAGCTTCCAAAAGTTAAAAAAAAAAAAAAATACCAGAAATGAAATCAAAAGGAAAACTAGGACAGGTTAAGTTTCCTCACATTTAACAAAAAGTTGTCAACGCGCAAAGGTACACAGACCTTCACATGCGATATTTATTCCTTGATGACTATAATCTCTCAAACTTCTTGTTTGCAAGGACTCCATTTGTTTCTCAAAATACTATCAAGTCTATCCATATACATTCATAAACTAATTTAAAGGCTATTTGGGGTAGCATCTTTTACAAAAAACACATTTTTGTTTTTGCCAAGCAGAATTATAACTTGAAAAGCTATTTTAAATAGTAGTGGACCATCACTTTTTTTTTTTTTTTTTTTTTTTT